AGAGCAGGTTCTACCATACGGCGTATCTAATCCCAGATATTCTGATACCGAGAGCTTTGTATTAACTAATTCGATTACTTGACAGAGTACTCCTTAAGCCTGAACGAGTATTCCTCCTTAATATTATTAAAACGAGCTGGATATGGAGCTCTTGGTCGTACTCCCTTCTCTGCTTCTGGCCTCCCATCCGTATCCCATATTGCTAATAAAGTATTTCGCTCGATATTCGATTACTTAATTATTTAATTAATCGTAAGAGGTGGGGGGGGATCTGCAGAGAGCAGGTAAGAAGCTTCTGGAGCATCGGGATTAACGAGGTGCCATACGTTTCGAAAGGTGGAATTGATTTTAAGCTCTATATATTACGCAGGGAAGCTCCTGTAATTAGTAAGGCATATATCGGAGACTGGTGGAGCTGCCATTCTAAAAAGAGGAATAAAGGATGAGAAAACCAGGTAAAACGTGTTCTTTTAGTAGTTACGACCGTAGTGAGAACAAACCGCAATTACTAGAACGCTTACTAATTGCTAATAGAGGTATGCAGCTAGTACGCCGGGCTCATAACTATCGCAAAATAGCAAGGAACAGTGATTTGCATAAGTAGTTGTCTGATTAAAAGAAGCTCTAAAGAGAGCCTCTGGATCTAGCTAAATAAAAGGGGCCGCTAAGTAAGCGAAGCTAAGCTCCCTAGTACCCGTATATACGATAGTAGTTTAACTATTTTAAAAGTATTAAGGTCTAGCCTTTTCTTTCTTATTTAGTATTTAGCTTTTCTTATAAGAAAATCTTATAAAGAAATAAGAAATATATATTTTTATTTCTCGAATTTAGTTTTACTAGTCTTTTTTAAAATTCTAGTTAGAGTATTTTCGAAATAGTTATTCTTTTAATATTTCTTATTAAAATATTAGATTTTCTAAATAGAATCTAACTAATTTGCCTTATAGTTCTCTAGCTAATAAAGTTAATTCCATTAATAGTCTAGTAAAATATTATATTTTATTAGTTATTTTCTTTCTAGAATTATATTATAAGAGCCAAAATTAATAATAAGCAAGTATTATTAAGTTTAGAAATATTAATTAATAGCTAAATCTGTAATAGCTAGATATTAAATAGTTTTACTAGATTATTTATTAAAACTTTATAAAGAAATAGGGGTTTTGAGTTTATATAAAGATATTTATAATACTTTTATTAAGAAATAAATATATTTTTAGTTAATTGGAATATATTTATTTATTTTAGTATTTACTAAATACTAGAAAGTTATAGTTTTATTTTTCTAGCTTATTTTATAATTAATAAGAAACTAGTTCCTACTAATTAGCTAAATAAGATTTATAAATTCTTAATAAAGTTCTTATTTTAGAAGAGCTATTTCTATATCTAGAACTAGACTTTTTCTAACTTATTAATATTATATTTCTTATTAAATAGTAAATAGAAATTAGTATTTTTATTATTTATTTCTGAATTATTAGCTTTCTCTAAATAATTCTCTTTAATAGATATAATCTTATTAAAGTCAGAATAGATACTTTTTATATATCTAGGCTTTCTATAGCTATAATAATAAAGATCCTCTAGCTAGTTTAGTCTTTTCTTAAATTCTTAATAAACTGCTTTTTTTAGTTATAAGAATACTAGCTACTAAGATTAATCTATTAAATATAAAGTTATTATAGCTTCTTAAATTCCGGTAAGCTTTCTAGCCCGGAATAGTATTTAATAGTAAGTAGTTTTTACTAATTATTTCTTTTAGAATTACTAATTTTTAATTAAAAGAAGCCTATTCTCTTATTTTATATATTATTTAGTAAGATCCCTAGAAATATTAAACTTCTTATTATTTAAGCTTTTAAATAACTCGAGATTTATTTTATTTATTAAATTATTATATTAGTTATTCAGTAACTTCTCTAGTTTTATTATTAAATAAATAAACTTTACCTAGAATATCGGAAATAGTTTATTTCTTTATCTTAAATACTAGTATATCTCTTTTACTTCCTAATACTTTATCTCTTTACTTTTACTATAAGCTTATTAGAGAATCTTAAAGATCTATTTAGTAATTAAGATTTATTTAACTAATTCAGGTTCTAATTAATTATAAATAAAGTTATAGGTATCTCTAGTAACTAGTTATATTATATAAATATTTTTTAGTAATTTATTATTAAATTTAGAGAAGTTCTATATTAGTTTATTTCTTATATTAAATATCTAATTATTAATCTAGTAATTATTCTTATTTATAAATAGAACAGGATTTTTAATTCTAATAAGCTATAATTAATTACTATAAACTAAAAGTAAGAGAAAGCCTTAGTATTAGCTATTAAATAATTCTCTTAATAAGAATTTATAATATTTCTAAATATCTATTTATTTACATTTCTACTTTATTACTTTTTCTTATATTAGTTTTTTTCTTATATAAAGTTAACTAGTAATTACCTCTAGCTTATTAACTTTTTTAGTAAGTTAGTTAATATATAAATAGAATTTCTAATAGTATTTTATTTATTTATTAGCTATAAGGCAGTATTTATTAATAAAGTTATTTTATATAAGTAATCTCTACTAGGCCTTATTTATTTTCGGAGTATTTATACTAATTTTAAGTTCTAAATTAGCTAGCTATTTCTTAATATCTTCTTTTAAAATAATATTATAATAGCTTTCCCGATAATATAAGTTTATAATATTAAAGTCTGGCTTTTCTATTTTATTATATTAAGACCTCTTATTTAATATATTTATAATAGTAATACTTGGCTCCGGGCTATTTATAGTAGCTTTAGAAGAAATATTAGCTTTAGAAGTAAATACTAAATAAGTTCTTCTTATTTAATATTAGTAAACTATAACTAATTATTATCTTATCTAGTTTTAAGTTAGTAAACTAAAGCCGACTATTATCTTTTCTTATTTTAAATTAGTAAACTATTACTAATTCTTCTTATATTAGAGAAAGGAACTGGTTCTTTTACTTTTATTAGTATTAAGGGAATATTATTTATTCTAGTTAAGAGTTAGGCTTTAAGGTTAACCGAATTATAAAGAATAATATCTTTCTTTTTTTATATTAATAGAGAACTAATTACTAGAAGAGGAATATTATCTGCTCTAGTTAAGGGTTAGGCTCTAAGGTTAACTAGATTATAAAGGATATTATATTTCTAGTTAAGCTCTCTAGTCCTCTATAGTTTAAGGAGATTATTAAATATTAAAAGCAGTATTCTGTTTTTACTTTCCAAGAATAAATACAGGTTCTTTACTAATAGTATTATATTACCTCTATAGGCCAAGTCGAGTAAACTTAGTATTATATAATAGCGGGATTAATATAATAGTTAAAGGCTCAAAGTTTAAAGAATCTCATATATTAGAAAATACCAAGCTATAAAATAAAGTAGGGAGAATGCCTTAACCTTTAATATTATTCCGTTCAAGTAATTCCGGCTTAGCTTTATTTTATACCTGTTTCTAATATCCTGTTTTTAGTAGATTATACCCTTATACCAGCCATTATATAGGCTCTTAAAATAGAAAGGGATAAAGATATTCGTTTTAGTAAAGAGAGAGCTAGTAAAGAAGCAAATAACTTTATTATATATATCTTATACGGCTTTATACTTCTCTGGTCTATTATATATAGTAATAAAGAAATCTTCTATAATAGTAAAGTTATTTATTATAGTATATTAGATACGGGTTTTATATTCGAGAGCTTCCAGCTAGCCAGAGATAGCCTTGGAAGCAGTAGTACAGGTATAAGTACCACTACCTAATTCGAGACAGGGAGGAGGATTTATATTCAGGTCCTTTTGTCTATTTATAGTACGGTTAAGGTTGGAGGGTAATTGAGGTTCTTGCGGGTATATAAAATCTGCGGTTTGGCTCCCGGAATGGGAGGAATTCGAGTTTTTGGGGGTAAGAGACGCCATTATTACCTATAACAGTACGCAAAGCACCGGGAAAGATGAAATGAGGTCTAATATATCGATTAGAATAGATTTTATATGCCCTTAGGGCCTGTAACAAAAGTTGTCGAGCAAACAGTGAGTTTGGGAAAAATGTTGTAGGTGCAATCTATGTTTCAATAGACTATATGGTTCTATTGACTGAAAAGAACCCTACTGTGGCATTCTTCTGGGCGCTTGGTGATCTGGACGAGGATGGCAATGTCTAGTTTACGGCAATTGTCCCACGAACAGAGAGAGCGAGGGAGAAATACAACGTTGTACGGTGAATGATAGCCTTTTATGCCGCTGGTTTGGGCTGCGTCCCTTTGCAAGCAAACGAATTCTTTCCGGTGGATATTCGAGCAATAAGAACCATGATAATCGATCTCTTCAACTGGGAGTCAAACATCTTGTCGATAATAGAAGGCATTTCTCCCTCCGGAACCTTTGGCTTTTATCTATTGTGTTTCCTAGGCTGTAGTCTTTGTGATCTTTTGCTTCCCTGAGGCTGCGAGCATGACACTGGAGCGGGTCAGGGCGGTTTTCGAATATGGTTTTAGGGCTCGCTATGCCGGGGAATGGCGGAAGCAGTATAGAGAGTAGATGCAAAGTGAGCAAGGCAAGCTGTTCGGGCAGGTGGAAGCGACTGAGTTTCGGAGAGGGGACTATCTGTAAATAGTCTGCAGTTGATAGTTTGACGTGGTCATCTCTGGTTTAAATATGTCTACCAGGTCTGCAAAGAATCCGGCCACTTAATACGGCCGGCTCCAGCGATAGACACGCATTTGCGCTTTGCTCAAAGGCAATGACGTCCCGCCTTTCTAACGCTCGTCTATACCACACATACGGTCCGAAACGTGGGTCGGATATAATCTTGGTGGATTCACTAGAGAATCTTCTTCAAGCTCGTGTCGGATCCTTCGCCATGGCAGCTCATGCAGTTACACGAGTCGATTCGATCTGCGGTGTCCCTTCATCCAGTTTATGCCTTGTGGTGCTTTATGTCCAGTTATTCCACTGGTCCACTTAACCCTCTATCATCCTCCTCAACTCCATCTCTACTTTCCCCACGCACCCCTCAACCTTAATCCTCTCCTGCGCACTCATCTTCCTCAACACATATCCCGCCACCACATCCGGCTCCCTACTCTCTGGCCTCCCAATCCCGACCCCAATCCTGGTGTACTCCGTCCCCCTCAAAAGCGCATTAATACTCTTCAATCCATTATGTCCCTTCGCGCTCGCACTCCCACTCTTAACCTTCAACTGTCCCGGCGCCAACTCAAGCTCATCATGCACAACCACCAACCTTGCATCCTCTCCCCTCCCTTCTTTCTGGAATTGTCGCCACGCAGCAGTAAGACCCACGCCTGAGACGTTCATCAAAGAGCCAGACTGCCAGAGCGTAAATTCGGAGCCTGTGGATACGAGGCCATTGCCGTAAGCTCGGGATTTCTGGAATGAAGGGTAGGAGAGCGTATTTGCGAGGGCGGAGAGGACGGTGTGGCCTGCTGAGTGGAGGGTATTTAGATACGGCCCTGGATTGCCAATTGAGCAGACGAGAAGGCGGACTGGAGTCGCCATTTGTGGCAGAGAGGTGAGGAGGAAGGAGGAGAGGGCAGATTTTATCGCTTCGGACTCGTGGTGTACATAATCAAGAGAAAATGGGGAGTGTCGTTGTTGGCGCCGTTGTTTTCGAGTTAATTTCTTGCCACTGGGATCTTCACCAGGCTGAGACATTTTTGCTGCGACGATCGCAAGGCTGAAGAGTTCTATTTTTGGCGGAACGCGACGAAAGACTGAGTTGTTTGGGAAATGCCAAATAGAGTCACTTTCGACATTTGAGGAACTCTTTGCTCCTTTATTCATTTCTCGATACTATCATCTTCGGTGACTTTATTCGTTCCGTTGCTTTGTCACAATGGTACACTGAAGAGTCACACGGCCGGATGTGGCGCAGCAATGACGGAGCCACGCTGAACCGCAACAACCGAACAGCCTCCCATATGCGACGAAAAATACATTAATCCCCATTAAAAGCACATCTAATAACGCCCGACTCCCCAAGTACCCCTGGTATACAAGCCTGTGCGCCTCAAACAGTGCCGCTGATGCTCAACTCACGAATCTCCTGCAACACCTGCTCAACTCGGCTGTCAAGGTGACCTTGTGCATATTGCTCGCGAGTATCCGCATCGAGATATTGTTGGACCTGGGCCATGCGAGAGTAGGCTTCAGCACAGAATCGCAATTGGATCTTGACCAGGGCTTCGAAGCTGGGATCGAGGTAGGGAACGCGGAGGTCGATGAGTTGTGGGAGTTCGGTGAAGAGTTGCTCATTCAGTTGCTCATATGCAGCTTTGGCCATCTCAGTCTCCTTCTCAGCGCGCGGCAGCTTCGTTACATCCTTGTCGGGCTTCTCGACAAGCTTCTTGACCTTGGCGCGCATGGCGTCGTAGTCGAGCAGCTTGTGGTTACGTTTCTTGATACCTAAATGTTTGTCAGCTTTGAATCCGCAGCAGACCGCGAGTCCATACACTCGTTGATATCCGGGAAGTATGCACAGAAACGAGAGATGGGCTCGAGGACGGTTGTTCTGTGGACAGGTATTAGCTGGCGTAACTCCAGATTCGTTTGATACGCGTATACCGGTATGGGCCATCGAGCGCCTTAATCGTCTCCGCGTCGAGATCCTCCACTGCCTGCTTGTAGCTACGGCTAACTCCATCCTTCGCGCCGGCGTCGCCGTAGAAAGCGTCAATTGTTTCCGCGATGCGCATTTGGGAAGCGGTCATGGCTGCCAGAGTCAGCGAGGTTCTCGGGATCGATCTAACCACACGTACCTCTCAGAGAATCCAAGTAGCCCTTTGACTCCTTCTGCAGGCGGTTCGCAGCTGCCTCCATCGTGCGATAGCGTCTATATTTCTTGAGATTAGACATTTGCTCCTTGGTCTTCTTCCCGTCTTTGCCCTCCGTCTTCACGATAAGGCGCTCCATCAAAGCGATCAGCAAGGCAGGTACTTGCTCCATAAAAGACTCCTTGGCAAGGTGGGCCATGAATGAGTCAAGAGATGACTCCAGAGTTGCACGCTCCATGGTTGGGTTGTACAGGTTCTTGGTTGGGGGTGGGGAGTCTGTGTAGGAAATTGCGTACGGACCTTTCCTCGACCTCGTAGTCCCTATCATTTGTCTTCTCTACATGCCCAGTCTTCATCATGACCTGCGTTGTCGCCCGATTCACATTCTTCTTGAAGCCTACACTTGTTAGCGGTGCTCGCGGGGGGGTCGAAGGTGAACATCGGCTATCCTACCTGCCCACGACATGATTGCGGAGTGCCTTCACTTTGTCTGCGGATATCGTTTCTAAGGGGAAAAGAAGCCTGCTACAAGAGCAAAGCGTGGTGGAAAGGAGTCCAGAGGCAATCTGGTGATGTTTGTTCTTGGTGTTGAAAGAAGTTGGCTTGAAGCGAAGTGGTAAACTGACGACACACTGGAGTGGCTGAGCAGAATGCCCGGAGCGGAAAATCTCTAACCTCCGACCCCCAAACATCCGGATTATTTTATTTCATCCTTGACAAGACATTCACACAAACAACAGAGTCACAGCAGTCAACACAATGCCTTCTCGAGGGAATCCCAACGTGCCAAATAAGCAACGCAGGATCGCAAGTCGAGTCAAGGTCCAGAAGCGAAATGCTGTCAACAAAGTTTCCAAGAACCCCCGAGGATCCGCACGAAGCAATGTTCTCCTCCCAACTAGCGGACCATTAGCACTGCCATCTGGCAAGAAGGCACGGAAGTTGGAGAAGGCGAGGAATCATGCACGACAAAGGGCTGTCGATAAAGCTATGCAGGAAGAGGGAGAGGTCCAGATGACGGGCATGTGACGGATTAAATTGAGAAGATTGTATGCTGATCATGGACAACAGATGCTCCAAAGACTACTAAAGCAAAGACTACAAAGAAGCAAGACAACAAGATGGAGGTTGATGCCATATCATGATCAATTAATGGCGTAGTAGGCGTATTGAGAAAAGCTGCATGGCTGGCATCCTGTTGGGGCAGGCTCGCGGAGGACCTTCTTGTGCTCGAGAACAACCCGACCAATGCATACAGTGGACAAATTACTGAGGGTACAGAAGGTCGGGGTCGAATTGGAGAGCACGTCATGAAGCATATGTCCATATAAACCGCACGACAGGCCGAGAGGAGCGGAGAACAATTGCTTCATTGCATACGTCTACCTCTAGTATTTGTTGGGCAAACTGTTGCAGCATTTTTCAACCAACAGTATGGTTCACGTGGTCCAAACTATCTCTGTCTGCTTGCTTTTTAATCATCTCTTTCCGCCATTCCATACCCTGGGTTTCTGCCCCATGTTCACCATTCTCCGGCGTGTCAAGCGTGTAACCCCAGACACTTTAGCGAGTGCTGCCTAGTGGGGTTGCTGTAACGGCAAGGGCTGAGGCGCTCAACCCGCTCTCTGGGGTCTTTCAACAGTCAATGATCAGCGACATGGAACCCCCTTCCTGTTTCCTTCTTGTACCTTCCTCAAACACCCGCCAGATAAAATACTTATTGGCATCTTCTATTGCTTTTTCACAACGAAGTTGTTTTCGCGCTGCGCGGAGATGATACATACCAATTGCTGGGCGCGTGGATTTGAGAGGTTGCTCCGACTTCATTGAAAACTCGGGAATCAGCTGAGGTTACATACTCAAGATATTTCCGACCTTTATTATAGTGCGCTTGCTGCGTTTCTTTGAGCAAACCAGCAATGATATAGTATAATATCACACGATCGTTTCGACCCATTCCCCATCGCAGATACATGGAAAGTCGTACGCGTTTCGAAGCGAACAGGAACCTCCAAAATACAGCTGCTCAACCAATAGCCCAAGGCAATTGAAGGAAGACAGAGAAAGAAGCCTCCATGCGCGACTATTCACAAGATATAGCGGAAGTTCTCCTGCTCCAAGTCCGTCTCATCCACGCCTGCAGAGGGCAGTTCAACCACGCCGTTTCCACCATCAATCTCAACCAGCTTTCCCGGCTCGGCCTCGATAACTACGCCTTGAACTCGATCTCTTCTCTTGTTCTCCCAGTCCATATACTGTCTTAATAGTAAGATATCCAAGATCCCGAGACACAAACAAATGATACACACCCTACAACCAGTGCGATAGTGCGGTGCCTCTCTTGCAAAGAAGACCTGCGGCCCTGAAATATTGCCAGCGCAGTACGCAAGAAACACAACGGCACTCACAGCTGTCTTCTTGGTATACCCAGCGACATCACTGGCAATGATGCTCAAACTAAGAGGAAAGCCTGAAGCATAAGCAGCGAAGATAAACACGCCACCAAGCCGACCACTGGTTTGAGATTCTGGTAGGTAGCCAACGAGACACCACCCAAGCATGGCGATACAGAGGAGGCAGGCAATGATGATGCAGCGGGACTTTCTAAGTTTCGTTGCTAGCAAGGCGGCGGTGAGAGTGAAGATAACTTGGCAGCCGCCTTGAGGCATGCCGAGGAGGAGGGTGCGAAATTGGTCGTGGCCAAGACCTTTGATAATCACTGATGTGAACTGGAGATAGTAAGCACATGGAAGAACTCAACAAAAAGGCACCGGCTGACATTTGTGACACCGCCATTCGGCAAGCTCGTGAAGGCTGTGTAGAAGAACAGGAGCCAAGTCTTAGGATCTGTCAATGCTTCAATGGCTTGGTGTCTCTTCCAATGCGTGCTCTTGAAGCTATTAATATTCTTCTGAGGCCTGCTGTGAGCAATCTCCCGTTCATGGGGAGTCAGCCACCTCGCTGTCGTCGGGCTGTCTGGCAGGAAGAGGATCAATGTGATCGACCAGGCAAAGGTAATGAGACCAAATATGATGAACAGCCACCTCCACGCAGCAATCTTATCATCAATCTTGCCAACTGCATACGCCAGCAGCCCGCCAAAGATGCTCGCCAGTCCATTGCCAGCGAACCAGATGCCATGCCGCAACGAATGTTCTGGCGGCTTGTACCAGATGCCGGTGATCAAACTAAAGCCAGGACTGATGATGCTTTCGAAAACGCCCAGCAGAGTCCTAAGGATAAAAAGCGAGGTGAAGCTCGAAGCTGCACCGTGGCACATTAGCACTATGGACCAGCAGAGGACGGCGGTGGAGAGGTATTTCCCGATTGGGAACTTGACAAAGCCGATAGAGCCGGGAAAGCTGGCTACGAGATAGCCGAAGTAGAAGGCGCTGCTGCACCAGGAGTATTGCTGCCCGTACAGATGCGTGTCTGTTTGGATTCCCATGACAGCCGTGTAGCCCAAAGTGACCTTATCGAGGTATTGGAGCATGTAGGTCATGAACATCAGCGGCATCAAGCTAAGGAATTAGTTGGTGGATGAAATAATAGGAGAGGCGGGGAGCCACTTACTGTGCATCAATCTTTCGAAGTATACGTTTCTCCTCGTCGTCCACAATGACGATGGGTAGGCGAGCTTTCTCGTCATTTTGGAAGTTAATCTCTTGATCGATTTTGACCTCCATCTCAGGCACAAGGCACATGGGCAAGGAATTGAAAATGGTGTGACTTGGGAGGTGAGGAGTTGAATCAATAAGTGGCTGAATGCTATCTATTCGAAGTGAAACCTGACCAGAGACATGCCTATATATGTGCTCCTGCCATCTTCAAGCTTCACTCGAAGTAACAATCCAAAGTGATGCATCCGTCCTCCCGCGAGCAGTATCTGGCCTCCAACGGCTAAGAAGGGAAGATACACACTTGGATAATCAGCCCGGGGTATTGATAAGTCAAAAGGCAACCGCTGGTCAAGTTCTCCGATTTCAACAAGCTTCATCTGTTATTAGTGAAGGATCAAGTCGTAAGGCCGAGATTGTAATCAATGGAGGATCGTGTAACTTAAAAAGACTGCGATTCTGTTGGTTGGGTTTTCCGAGGCTTGTGAAGCCACCTTCCCCACTGCTGACCGACCAGTCAACTCGGTCGATGATTGGTCAGAATTTCCGACGACAAGCACCACCGGATTTTCCACCAAGTGATAGGCTCCTTGATCTCCGTCCCTTTAGACTCCCAGATTGACCCACCTTTCTCATTGAAGATACAGCAGCTTTTAGAGTAATCTTGCGCTTGGTTTGTGTTGAAATCACAGAATTCCAGCTTATCGTGGGGACCATGAACGATGTCGCAGCGGCCGGAGGAGGATCTACGTCGCAAGAAAGGTGACAACCTCTTCATCGTAATGGACTTGGAAGACGGCTGACCTCGAAGGTTGCGATGCATGTCGCTCGAGTAAAGTCAAGTGTGATGAGAAGCGGCCAGCCTGTGGAGCTTGTACAAAGCGGAATCGTCAATGCTCCTGGCCGGGATTGGAACTGAGGCCTGCCGCTCGACGGAGAGGTTACTGGTCTTTGAGGTCCGGAGAGCCAAGGCGGTGCCCACCCCTGATCCCAAGAGCCAGCAGTTCACTCATTGAGGGCTTCTTCGCAGAAACAGGTCCCCCCCTCCAGACCCAGCTTGATCATGCGTCCCAAGACGACTCCTTTCTGGACGTCGAGTCGTGGGCAGATAGGGAGATGGACAACGAATACACATTTTCTCCCATGTCCTTTGCCTATTCTGTAGACCATCTTCAACCATTAGCCTCAATATCCGCTGGGTTTGGAGGCACTGAACCCTTAGTTCTGTTCCCAGGGTTGGGAAATTACTGCGCACCTGGATTCCAATCTGTCTTTCAAACACTATCGGACCATCATATCCCAGCCGCAAACTCCCTAGTTCTCAATGAGACAGAGGTCCATGCCCTCGACCATTATCAAAAAGCTTTCTCAACCTACAGGACCACTAAACTACCGCGATGGTCAACTCACAGACTTCTTTTGGACCTGGCCTCCGAGAACTCTATGATAATGCACTTCATTCTCGCAGTCTCAATCAATGACGTTTGCTACCGAAAAGAGAACGAAGCATCTGCGGAGGCAAAGAGCCACTTCAAAACAGCTCTTCGAGACTTCGTCAAGATTGTCAAGGAAGACTCGACGGAAAACTACAAACTCGCTATGGCGGCTTTCCTCTTCTTGTACCTGTATGTCCCGAAACAACAATCACTACTACAACATACCATTGATCAGTTGAGCACAACGGTGAGGGACTTCGTCAAACACCATAAGCTTGACAGCTTGTGTCTGGAGAGCTCGTCAGAAACACTATCAGCAAGGAGTTTTATCCCTTCTGATCGCAATGTACTTGCTCGTCTTATAATTTGGACGTTCGATGAGGATGTCAAATGTGGGTTTCAGGGGTACGGCGGCCATCTTGCCAAATACTTGACAGCACATCGGGAGCGGACCATGGCTGTCTACGAAGTTTCTCGCGTGGCTCTTCGAGCATTCTGGGGTACCACCTACCCGCAAGATCAAGCAGACGACGACGATGACAACGCCATGGAGTTAGAGCTGCTCTGGGTGCTAACTGCCTTGTGGCAAGACATCAATGAGCTTACTCAGAAAGCATGCCTCGACTACACCGAGTCATGCGAGGATATCAATCAAAGGTTTAATCTAGTGCCGAAGGTCCATTCCCTGTCTATGAAAGCATAGTGACTCACTGACAAACTATAGAAATACTGCTCTGTCTTCCAAAACTCAGCCATGACGGATATGCCTCGTTCTCGAGTTCAAATGAACGCAGATTATGATGTGGTTCTGTTCAACGCCCTCAAGGTGTATTATTTCCGAACGAAAGTAGCGGAGACTGAGTCAGAAACCCCGCCAGAAATTCAAGCAGCATTGAAGAATATCCTGACCATTATTCGGCGGACATTTGCTTCCAATGGCAACGAACTACATGACCGGTTACAGTGGCCTCTTTTCCTTGCTGGCGTTGAGACGGATGATGGTTTTTATAGCGATTGGATACTTTCGAGGATTTCGAAAAATCGTGCCAGAGCGGCTCTGGAGACAGTAATCCAGCGTCAGACTTATTCCGGGAAAAGTTTAAAGCGCTTGTCGATACACCAAATTCGGAGTTTGCTCTTTGGGGGTCAGGAAAATGAGTATTTGACTTTGCCTGATGCAGGGCGGGATTCGCTTTGGGACGCGCTTGAGGAGCTTTAATATTGGACGAATGAGACCATAATGGTTGGGATGGGGCGTTTTTAATTTGTTGATATGGGACTCCACTTTGAATTTAGATCTTGGTTTTACTCCACTTGTCTACGAACCATCCTTCAATCTGACCACCATATTATTACTTCCAAGCTAGAGACCAATTGTCCCCGCGAAAATTGATAAACCATCGACCATGTCAAGCAAGATCCATCCAACGGTCCAACCCCTTACCAATCACTTCTCCCAATATTATCTGCGGCCCCGGGAGGCTTATACACAACTTCCATGGCGCTGGAGATGTAGCCGTTCGGTTTGCATAGCTTCCAGGCACTGGCCCTTAGTCTACTAATCGGAAGTTATGACCAATCAATGGACAGACAAAGATTTTGATCCTGGCCCCGCTCCTTCGAGCCCCACTTTAGCCAACGAAACAGCCTCAACTCCAGCTCACCGCATGACCCATCGCTCGCAATCGGCAAAACAAGGACGGCAGTATAAAGTTTCACTCTCCCGTAGCTACGGGAACACTTCTACGTTAAAACCCCCATCTTCGGACACTCTCATTTTCTCACCATGGCTCAGTCAAGCCTCGACGTGATGGGCTTCCAGCACATAATCAACAAATCAATCGATGAGCTCGACTCGGTGCTTAGAGATATCAACAAAAAGGTACCCCCGTAACCCTGAAAACTGAGTATCAACCGACCCTCTTCAGATCCACGAAAATCCCGAGCTAGGCTACTCAGAATTTAAAGCCCACGACAACATAGTTTCACTTTTAAGAGATCAAGGCTTCGCTATTACGCCCCACGCCCACGCCCTAGAGACGTCCTTCGCTTGCTCCTACGGAAACGGTGGACGGATCGTCGCTTTCAATGTTGAATACGACGCGCTTCCTGGTATCGGCCACGCCTGCGGACACAATCTCATCGCCACAGGCTCCATAGCAGCATTCCTCGGTCTTGTCGCGGTCCTGAAAAGTAATCCTTCCCTTGAAGGCACCGCCCTCCTACTCGGAACACCCGCGGAAGAAGGAGGCGGGGGCAAACTCAAGCTCATTGCTGCCGGCGCGTACGAAAATGTCTCAGCATGTCTTATGACACATCCATTCTCTGCCCCCGGAAACGTAACATACGGATCCTGCATGGCGAGTTCAAAGTTCAGGGCCACGTTCACGGGGAAGGCAGCTCATGCTGCGGTGGCTCCATACGAAGGTATCAATGCCCTTGATGCCGCGGTGCTCGCTTATAATGGAACAAGTATGTTGAGACAACAGATCAAGCCCGATCAGAGAATTCAAGGTGTGTTGCTTGAGGGTGGAGAGAGAGCAAACATCATCACGCCCAAGAGTGTGCTGGATTACAATGTCCGGGGAAGCACCCTAGGAGAGACGAAGGATTTGCAGAAAAGGGTGGTAAAGTGTTTTGAAGGAGCTGCGATTGCTACGGGATGCAGTGTTGAGTTCCTGGAGTAGGTTTCAACTAAATGGCTGAGGGGTGCATGTTCTGACCTGACCTAGAACAAATACTTATGCAGACCTGAGACCAAGTCGAGCTCTTTGTGTTGCATTCTCCGAAGTCATGAAAAGTGTTGCTCCAGATCACAGCTGGACTGTTGGGGAGACACCCGAACCAGGAGCATACTCAACCGACCAAGGCAAGTCTCTCATTCTCCTGGGAACATTAAGCTAACATAGATTAGGCAATGTCTCGCACATCTGTCCTAGCTTTCATGGCGTTTACGCCATTCCAGTAAAGGACAATGCAGTAAACCACACACCTGGGTTCACGAAGGCTGCAGGAACAGATGACGCCCACACACTCACAATCTTGACAAGTAAGGGGATGGCTGGTGTTGGAATGAGAGTCTTATTTGATGATGCATTTGCAAAGATTGTTAAAGATCAGTTTGAGGAGGCGCAGAAGGCTGAGGACTGGAGCCGGTGAGGATTATCATTCATTACTGCCCTAAATTGCGAAATAACCTTGCGAAGACGTTCTTTTCTCGTACTCAAATAATAGTTGGTTTTCTTTATGATATCGAACACCTTACACCTAGCAAAATGATAATGACAGCCTCTTGACCCTTGGATTGAATTATTATCTTTTGTTGCAGTTGCCGAATACAAATGGATTTTGGTCTGATTCAACATTTGTCGTTAACCTTTCAATACCTCCCAAAGCTATCGTAGATTCCTTGATCCCGCCTATCTTGGAGAACTCTTCCACCAGCGTTGAATTCTTCGACATCTGCCGTATCATTATTGACTATGGGGTTTACTTCTCGAATCGAGGAGAGGAGCACTCATTGCGGCCGTGCCACATCAGCACCTGAACCAGAATTTACGACCAATCAATTGAACAATCACTCGATAAGAACTCTTCCCCTTATGCGGCACTCACACGCCGGCGTGGCGAACATGGTACGGCCACTGATCAAAGTTCCAGCCATGATCACGCCAATACCATTCCCTGGAAACCCATCGCAACTCAGGCCGGGAACTCTATACAGTTTCTGCCCAACCCAGCCGATGTTATGAGCTTTATAAAGAGCAACGCGAAAAAAAAGTTCTATCGCATCCCTGACATCGAACGCGTACAAGAGAGTCGAGGTAATGTATTGAATCGACAAACGTACATGCATAGCGAAGGCGAGTATATGCACCTAAGTGGCAGTGTAGACCTCCTCAAATCGTAGTTTGTTTGCAATCTCCTGGCATATCTCTTGGACGCTATCGACAATCGTACCTGAAAGTGCTTCTAAGTAGGCGAAGACCAGAGAATCGAGCTCCGCCTTGAAGTTTGGAGTTGCGGTGCAGTATTCCCCGTAAGAACCGGGGATATGAGGATGGATTTTGCCAAAGTACGGAGCAACTGCGTATATTCGTAGCAAAAGTGCTCACCAATTCCACCGCGTTGCCAATGTTCCCCTACTGGAATGTTTGCTCTTCCTGACCCTATGTCTCACGTGAGCAGCGCCGCCCTTGCTCAGGCTCCGCTCAGGTCAGGCTCATCTTCGGCTCAGGTCGGCTCAAGACTGTTCACCGTATTTACGCGACGTGGCGTAGCTAAGACTAATCTCACTAGAAATTATCAACTTTAACAAGGGGCCTAAAAAGGCCCCCCCCTCAGCTAAGGATCCTAAATATATTACTACTACATATTAGGCCTCCCTTAAGCTATTAAAATCAACTCGTTAAGCTCTAACTAAAAATTGCAATAGCTACTTACGGGGTTTATAAGAGGAATCTGCGTAAGCCTTAGGCAGCCATCTCGCTTAGCTATCGCGCTAGTGTGGACTTAGTCTCACCCACTGGCTTTTCTTTAGAAATAATCTCTTTTTCTAAAACTCACTCTCAAATCACGTGAAGTCTTGTTTTACCTAGTCGACCGTTACCTGGTACAAGTCTCACTTCTGCCTCCTAGGTCCTTGATCTCTCAGGTCATTTGTCACGTGCAAGAGTGCTTTTAGGCAGTAGGATTACTAAGCAAGCCGGTATAGCTGTACGTATTAAAGAGCCTCGTCCTAGCTCAGCTCTATTTATTCGTCTTTAGCTTTGATGTCCTTTCAATACAGACTGTATTGATCCTGATCTAGGTGCTCGTGACAGATATAACAACCTGTGAACTGGCAGTTGAGATTATACGTCTTGGTAAACCTCGATAATCCGAGCTCCATCTCTTCACCACTTCTATGTCGAATCCTTATCTCTATTCTACCCTTATAGGGGATGCTTCATTTCGAACTATCGAAGTACTCCCAGGCCAAAAGGCTGACCCCATGAGGTGTCATATTCTTTGCCATTCGTCCCCTTCCGCCACCACGTATGAGGCTTTATCTTACGCATGGGGTAATCCGATCTTGAGTCATTCAATTTTCATTGAGGACAAGGAGTTGAAAACCACAACAAATCTCCATTCGGCATTTGTGCGACTACGTGATAAGAAAGAATCACGTATACTCTGGGCTGATGCGGTATGCATTAATCAAGGAGACGCAAATGAGAAACCCGGTCAAATTCGACTTATGCGACAAATCTATCACAAGGCTCAGCGTGTTATAGCCTATCTCGGAGAGGCCGCTGATAATAGCCAGGAAATCTATGATCTTATGGGCCCTATTACTCTCATTGCATTTAATCGCCAGCATCGACTTTGTGAAGAGGAATACGAAGAAAGCGGACTCCCACCTCGATCACATTCTACTTGGCGCGCTTTTCATCAACTCTTTCGCCGCGCATGGTTCACCAGGTACTGGGTGATACAAGAAATCATTTTGGGGCGAGAAGTTGACCTTATTTGTGGCGAATGGGTCCTACCATTTAAATTGTTTACTCGTTATATCATTAGAGGTGCAATTTTAGAATTGCCCTTTACAGATACACGAGCGAACAATGAACAGGTTGGAATGGCCCAACTTATGCGCATCTCTCAGCTGCTAGACAGCGGGTCAAACTCTTGGAAGCTGATCCACCTCTTACGTCTATTTCGTCTTGCTCGAGCTTCAAACGACCACGACTACATATACGCGATCTTGGGTATTGCGGCGGAAGCGAATGACTCCGCATTGACGATAGACTATACGGAGTCCGCAGAAGATACCTTTCTCCGATTTGCAAAATACTTTGTAACTCAAGGAGATGGTGTACAGCTTTTGTATAGTTCTCATCTGAAATCTGCAGCTTCGACGCTACCTTCGTGGGTTCCAAACTGGGCAACAAAAGATCTGATACTCTCCAGCATTGCTCCGGACCCTATATGGGATCGTGTTTCTCAGTTTTCCGCTGGAGGTGAATCACAAGCGTCGATAAGTCTGAAACCAAGTTCGAATGATCTGATTGTAAGGGGTATTATCTTCGATCGTCTCTTTAAAATCGGCAAAATACATGAAAAAGATCCGAATGATCAATCATTAGGAAGTAGAATGTGTGAGGTCCAGTATTGTATGGAAGAGCTCCACGATCTTTTTGCCACATTTCTGCGCTATCCCAGTGGAGGAGATCCTGGGGATGCTAAATGGAGGACACTCATGTGCAATACGTCTACAGGAACCTTTGGACAGCTAAAACCGCCGCGAGAATATGCTCAGGGGTTCAAGGCCTTGGAAATACTTGTTGATGGTCTAAGAAACGGGAAATCTCTAGTACTGGAGGAGGCAGACTTATATTTCCAGCAAGCAAAACGGCCTGTAGGAGAATCACTGGAGTGGTGCTATTCCAAAAGGCGCGCTGTAACAGTGAAAGGATATTTAGCCAAGTTCCGCTTTTCGCGCAGGCCGGGGATGTTGTTGTTATCATCTTCGGCGCGGTTATTCCATTCATACTACGACTGGTATTGAGTGGATACAAAATTGTTGGCGAATGCTATGTCTACGGGATAATGGACGGAGAGGTATTACGTATGAAGGATATGAAGGATGAAGACATTATGATACATTGAGAAGAATCTTTAAAGCAGAATCTTTGAAATTTGGCACTATGAACTGCGCTTGCTATTGTGAACGGATCCTCTGTGCTCAAGGCTAAGTTTCAAGAACAATAGTACTTGAGCAAATCACCTGCGAATTACCCTTCTAATTTGCAAGTCTGGAGATTTCTGATTAGAAATCATATTAGCCAAGGAACTATCACTAGTATAGATCTTTATTAATACTAAAGTTAGAAGGGGTGAAAATCTCTGACTTTGCCTCTTTTCTTAAGGCCAGCGTTTAACAAACGCTAACGTTAGGGAGCCCGATTTTGCTCCTTTTCCTTACTTGATAAGGCAACCTTAGATAAGACTAGGTCCAATTTTAAACGCCAGTGTCTGTTAGGGGCCAGAGTAAAATATGTAATACCTTTAAGGAGCCAGATTTTGCTCCACTCCTAATGCTACCGTCTACCAAACGCCACCGCAATAGATGAGCTACCGTATAGGAGCCGAAACTTACCCTTCTTTGACATTAGCATCTGTTAAGCACTAGCCCTACAAGTTGATTTTCTATCTATTTCCAAAATTGCTCGCATATCTATAAAGTAATTGCACATAGAGTATATGAGGCTGTGGCAGAGCCTATGAGAGTCAGGGGGGCAGAAACAAGGTACAGAGACAGGGTGCAAAAGCAGGATTCAGGCGTAGGGAGCAGACGCATATGAGCAGAGGTAGAGGATTAAATTTTGGTGGGCTCACTGGTTTGGCGTGTCGCGTAAGAATTTAGAGTCGCGCAGCATAGATATGCAATGCAAACAGTCCCGCACCGTGGGATTATTCTCTGTCGACTCTTCAAGGATCACGGAAGCTGTTAGCATTGGCTATAAATAGCCTGTAGAATAGGGCACATAACAATAAAATATATTGAATTAACTACTGAAAAGATAACTAGCTAAGCTCTATAATAGACAGCTATACTATATATATAGGCTAAAGGCCCTATTTATTTATTAGGCAACTTTAATAGAGATACTTAACCTATATATATTACATATATAAAAGCGAATAAAGATCTTATTAAATTAGCTAAGTAATAAAGCTAGAATTATATATTTATAATATAAACCAAGTAAATAATACTAAATTAACTACTATTTTATAATAGTAAATAGCCCGTATATATAGCCCTAAACTCCCTAAATTATATATATTAAATTTTTATATTAGCTAAACTAATTCTAGCTATATAGATTATTCTAGCTATATAGAATATTCTAGCTATATAAGGTATTCTAGCTATATAGAATATTTTAGCTATATAAGATATTCTAGCTTTATAAAATATTTTAGCTATATAGAATATTTTAGCTAAATAAGGTATTAAGCTAGTATATAGCTTTATAGTATTTGATTTTAGAGCTTATTAAATTTATTAGAGGCTTTAGGCCTCTAATTTTAATAGTTTTCTTATATATTATTAAAAATAGTTCTAAGAAAATAATTTTTAAAAATTATTGCTTTATTTATTAAAGCTTCTAGAGTTTTAATATTTAAAAATTAAAAATAGTTCAAAAACTAGCCTAAAAACAGCCTGTAATTCTATAATTATAATATAAATAGCTCTTTAATATAATATCTAAAGGCCGTAAATAATAGAAATTTAATAAATATATTAGTTATTATTTTTTTAATAGAAATATATTTAATAATAATTTTATTAAAGGCTATTAGTATTCTAATATAATAATAACAAATATTAATATACTTGATTTGGCTATAAGCTATAAGGTTTCTAACTAATATTATATAACTTTAATTATTACTAAATATAAGAATTAAAAAAGTAATATTTAAATATTAAATATATTTAAGCTTTTTAAATAAAGCCTTAAATTACTAACTTTATTTAATAGCCTCTAATAAGCTAATATATTCTAATTAGATAATAGAAATAGTTATATAATATTATTTAATAGAAAATTATATAATAGATCTTTTATTAAATAAATATAAATACTTTATAATAAAATATTTATTTATTATATTTCCTATAAAATTTATATTACTAAAGTTCTAGAATTTTAAGCTTTTAGCCTTTCTAATACTATATAAAATATTATAATTTATAATACTTTTTAATATAATATTTTATAAATATATTATAATATTAGTTAAGCTATTTAATTATATAAGTAATATTAAAGCAAGAGCTCTTTAAAACCCATATAATATAGCTTATAGCCTTCTAATATAGGCTCTAATTAGCTTATTCTTTTTTTAATTATATTATAATTATTATAATTCAGCTTTTAATCTAGTTAGCTAATATAGTTGCCTATATCCCGTTACCCATATCCCGTTGCCTCCTAGATACACGTGACGCGGCCGCCTCGCTAAGGAAGTATACTTGGAATATACTAGAGATATTTAGAAGGCTAAGCCCCTTATAAACTAGCGTACTATAGGGTATATATACTCCCTTATAGCCTCCTGTATTCTAGTTTTCTCTTTCTTAGCTTTAAATCGTCTTTATAAGAGACCTTCTACCTTGCTTTCCAAGCCCTAAATATTATACCCGTAATAATAATTAAAATATTCTAGTTATTTATAAGAAGATTTATAGGCTTAGCTTTTTCTAGCTTAAATCTTTTTATAAAACTTGTAATATATTTATTTTAATTAAGAAATAAAATATATTTAAATATTTAAAATTAGAATTATATTTCTCAAATTCTTAATTTTTTATAAAAAGACTATTTTATTAATAATTATTTAAATAATTTATAAATTATAGCCTAGAACTAATATATTATTTATATAAAGCCTAATAATTATATTATAATTTATAATAATAAAAATAATTGGCTTATTAAAATAGTAACTAAAACTAAGGAATTTAAGTCTTATAAAAGCTTTAATATATTACTTTTTCTTTAATTACTTAAGCCTATATAAGAAATTAAATAAAAAAAATATTAAGTTTTTAAAATATTTTAGAATTTAAAGAACTTATATATATATTTTAATATAAAGCTTAAAATATAAATAAATACTAATTATATTAATTTAATATATTTCTAGATTTTTATAAATCCTTAAAGCTAATAAAATTCTTAGGCTTTTAGCTCTAATAATAGAATTAAAAGTTTCTAGAAAATTGTTTTCTAGAATTTAACTAAAGCCTTAATTTACTAATTAAGCTTTATATTAATTAATTAGGGCTATAAATATATATTTAATAATAAATATCTATTTATAGCCTATAGCTTTTTTTTAAAAAGATAATAAAATAGTTTTTTTTTAAATATTTAAAGCTTATAGTTTAGTAAATTCTTTATTAATTACTTATTTCTAATAAGTTCTATAAATAGAATTATTTATAGCCTTAATATAAGTTTTAGAAATTAAATACTTTATAATTATTATATTTATATAATATTCTATAATTAGTAATTCTTTCTAATTATAGGAATTAGGGTTTTCTAAATTAGTATTTCTTAAATTAAAATCTAAAGCTTTTATATTTATTATTATAATATTTCTATAATTTCCTGAAATACTTTATTAGAAATTAAATAATAAGAAAATACAAATAAAAAAGTTATATATATTTTTTAAAAGTCTTATAATTATAGGGGCTTTAGGCTATTTTCTAATAAATTTTATAAAATTAAATAAAACTATTTTCTTTTCTAAAAGCTTTTTATTCTAGTTCTATTTTAATTACTTATTATTAATTTACTAATAATATATAATATTATTATATAAATATATAAATACTAGTTATATTAAATTAGTAAAATTATTATTATTTAAAACTAAAAATTATAAATTATAATATTAAAATATAATTTCTAAATTTATTAAATCTAATAAGATCTAGTTTACTAATTGAGTTATTTATAAAATATAAGATTATATAATTATATTTCATATTTTATATTTTATTACTTATATTTCGTATTTTATATCCTATAATTATATATATAACTTCTAAAGAAATAGCTATATTAATACTAAAATCTTTTTAGAAAACGCGAAAAATAATACTTTTTTTTAATTATATATAAATTCTTTAATTCGGTCTAATATTAGATTTTTTAAATATTTTATATATCTATATTACTTTTAAGATTTTAGTTATATACTAAAAGCTATAGCCTTTTATATATAACTTTCTCTTTTATAATATTCTCTTATTTTATATATTTATTTCTTACTTTATTTATATTTAATTTATTTCTCTATATTTAATTTTATTATATTTATATTAATTAGATACTTAAAAGTATTTATTAGCTTTAATTTTAATATAGAATTACTAGAATTTAATTCTTTTTTAATTTATTTAACTCTTATAATCTCTTATTATTTATATATCTAATAAAAATATATTATATTAATTATTAAATACTTTTTTTAAATAGTTTCTAATTTAATAAAGTATTTATATAATAACTTTAAATTTATATAAACTATTAATAATAGTTTTATTTCCAGTATTTTATTAATTATAAATTTAATTAAAATACTTATATTAAAGCTATAGGCTATATTATAAAGTTTTAAAGCTAAAATACTTTTAGTAACTCTTTTATATTTAATAAAAAACTAGTAAATAATATTAATATATCTAGTTTTATTTATTAGAACTAAAATATATTTAATTTAGAAAAAAAGATTTCTATTATTTATAAATAAAGTATTTATAAAAATAATTAAATATAAGAACTTTTTTATTAGCTTTATAAATTTTAGTTCTTTAATAATATTTTTAATTTATTATTAAATATATTTATTAAATGCTTTTATATTAGCTTTCGAGAATTTAATAATTTAAATAATATTTAATAGATTATATAAAGCTTCTAGTTAATAAACTAATATAATATATACTTTTTTAATATATTAGGTAATATATTAGCTTTTAATAAAAAGATTTTAATAAATAATACTTCTATTATTTATAATAATAATATTTTTTATAGAAATAGTTTAGAGATTTTTATATTAGTATTTTTATATAAAAGTAATTCTAGTAATATTTATATAAATAATACTTTTATTAAACTTGAAAT